TATCATGCAGCCAGCAGAGAGAAACAGACAGAGTGCTGCAGAAATAAAAGTCTCCAAACCAAAGAGAAACAAATATTAATAAGAAGAATAGAAGAGAAGAAAATCCACAGACACCAAGCAGTGAACAAAGTGACAAAAATATAAACTCAGACAGGCGTGAATCGTGACAGGATTACTGAGCATAAACTTTCATGTTCTTGCATTGAAGTTTTTTTTCCTTCAAAAATGTATTTCTTATATGTTGATCAAAAGAAATGTTTCAAAAACAGCTAGTCTTCACATAATTAGATAAGTTTTTAGCTTTTTAAAAAAAACAGAGGTTTATTTTGATTGCTAAACTGTTACATTGTGACACTAATATACTCTCAACGACTGTGTGTTTTAAACTTATGGGATTTTAGGTTAAATTGTTTTGTTTCTATGACAAATATTCTTTTCATGTTTTTAGGTGAAAACAAAGCACTGCCACTCCATCACAGATGTCTTTGTTTGATTACTGAACAGTTACTGGTGTCACTAAAATACTCCCAAAGACCAGCTTTGTTTAAATGAGATTCCACCTCTCTGTCTAACTCAGGTACTTGAACCTCCAGGAGAACCACATTAACGTGATCCATGATAACTCCTTCCAGGACCTCGTGCGCCTGGAGAACTTCTACCTCAACGACAACCTGCTGTCTGATCTGCCCAAACTCGCCTTCAGAGGCCTCAGCCGCCTCAAAATGCTCAACCTCGGGGGCAACCAGTTGACCAACGTGTCCAAGACCTGGTTCAGTGACCTGGTTGAGCTGGAGGTCCTGTACCTGGACAGGAATCAGCTACTGAGCATCGAGGAGGGCGCCTTTGAGAACCTCACTAGCCTGATGACGCTCCACCTGAACAGCAACAACCTGACCTCGCTGCCCCTCAGCGTGTTCCAGCCCGTCTATTTCCTGGGTCACCTGTACCTCTTCAAAAACCCCTGGGAGTGCAGCTGCTCCCTGGAGTGGCTGAAGCAGTGGATGGAAAATTACAAACTGGTGCGGGACATTCCTTGTGCCTCGCCTTCCTCTGTTGCCGGATTGGACCTGAGCCAGGTGGTGTTCGCCAACATGAACGGCACATGTGTGGACCCTGCAGATCTGAACCTAACCACGGTCTCCTCAGAGCCAGTCCTGACCACAGAGAACCGTTTCAACAGTCTCATCTCTAAGCTGCTCCAGCAGGAGCTCAGAGAGGAGCTGGGGAACGGGACAGAGAGCCTCCGCAACAGGACCCTGGTGGAGGCAGAGGAGGGGCAGCTCTCTGCGGGGGCTGGGGGGCGTCAGGCCTGGGCCAGCCAATCCCTGCTCTGCTTCACTGCCATGTGGTTCATATCTGGTTTACTTGGCCTGTCAGATACTAACGCCTGTGTTTTCTGCATGAGAGCTGTGACAAATATCCATCATGGAGCAGACTTTCTTTAAGTTGCAGACAAGACAAACGGTGATTTTATTTTTCAACGCAAGTCTTAAGAAATGTTTCACTTGTGTGAGTTTGTGCAGCCAAAAACAGATTGTGGTAAAGTTAGAGGAATGATGTTGGTATCTCTCACCACCACCAAAGGAGGCAGATGATTATGTTTTTGTCAGTCTGCATGTTGGCAAAATATCTCATAACCCACAGGATGGAGTTTAATTACACTTTCAGGAAATAATCATTTGATCTACATTTACAACTGTTTACTTTTTGAAGTTAACCCAACTCAAGATGGCCACCAAAGTCAACCAACTGCAGAAAAAACAAAAATGACTGTAACTCAGATGATAACTGGTCTCCTCATGTCTCAATGAGACTAACCTGTATAAGTCAAGGTTGACTGATTTGACAGATATCGAGGTAAAATCTGGTGTGGAAGTAGTTTAGCAATACCATTACAAGCAGGATGAGGGAAATACAGGATGGGATTGCAAAGTTAGAACTGGAGTTGCAGGACAACAGAGGTGAAATATTGAAGAGAAGGGGGGTTGTAGCCTATGGGTGGTGGGGTGTGTGGAAGGGAAAGAGAGGGACAGTGCCCATATCATATACCTAAAAATACAGTACATCTCTGTCATATACATCTCTGAGCAGATCAAAACCCAGAGTCACAGTTTAGAGAAAATAATTCTACACCCAATAAATCTTTTTAGCTCTAAGAGATTTTCCAAGCACTTAGTTTATAATTTTGCAATGAACTATTTGAAGCCAATAGCCTGATGCATGCTCAATAATCCAGGTAGAAAAATCTAACAAAGGGTCAGTTGGCTGTTGTGGCCATCTTTGATTGGGGTGGCTCCAAACGTCAGTCAGCTGTAGCTGTATATATGATTATTCCCTTAGTTTCTACGAAAGCTCGCCGTTGGTTTGTGAAGTATTGTGCTAAGAGAAAAAAAGAGTTGACTTCAAATATCTAACAAAGTTAAGTCAGGTCCTCTGGTCAGATTAAAAAAATTGTTGAAACGTTTCAGCTTTTATCCAAAAGACTTTGACAGTCTGATGAGCTGCACTGAACTCAGTCTTATAAATAGCACATTCTCATAGTAGATCATCCAGTTTGCTGTTGACATCCAAAACTAGCTGTTTACATGATAAAGAAGGACCATCAGTCTAGTGACCGACATTAGTGCCCAAACAATCGATTGTTTGTTAGTGACCCTAATGACAGGTCGTTAGTACCCTAACCCTATCCTAACCCTGTCATTAGGGTACTAACGACCTGTCATTAGGGTACTAACGACCTGTCATTAGGGTACTAACGACCTGTCATTAGGGTACTAACAATCGATTGTTAGTGTTAGTTTATTAGTGGGGTGGCTGTGGCTGAGTGGTTAGAGCAGTCGTCCTCCAATGCGAGAGTTGGGAGTTCAAATCCACCAGCATTCACATGTCGAAGTGTCCCTGGGCAAGACACTGAACCCCTCATAACCTCTGATGTGTGTCCCATCAATGTATGAATGTGATCTAAAGCTCTGATTAGTCTCATTAGAATGATTTGTTCAATTAGCTTTGTAGAGATCTAGTAGAGTGCTGTATGAATGGGTAAATGAGGTACAGATTGTTGTAAAGTGCTTTGAGTATCTTGAAATAAGATAGAAAGGCGCTATATACAGTGCCTTGTGAAATTATTCGGCCCCCTTGAACTTTTCAACCTTTTGCCACATTTCAGGCTTCAAACATAAAGATATAAAATTTTATTTTTTTGTGAAGAATCAACAACAAGTGGGACACAATCGTGAAGTGGAATGAAATTTATTGGATGTGTCAAACTTTTTTAACAAATAAAAACTGAAAAGTGGGGCGATCAATATTATTTGGCCCCCTTGTGTTAATACTTTGTAGCGCCGCCTGTTTCTGCAGTTCCAGCTGCAAGTCTCTTGGGGTTTGTCTCTATCAGTTTTGCACATGGAGAGACTGAAATTCTTGCCCATTCTTTCCTGCAAAACAGCTCGAGATCAGTGAGGTTGGATGGAGAGCGTTTGTGAACAGCAGTCTTCAGCTCTTTCCACAGATTCTCAATTGGATTCAGGTCTGGACTTTGACTTGACCATTCCAACACCTGGATACGTTTATTTGTGAACCATTCCATTGTAGATTTGGCTTTATGTTTTGATCATTGTCTTGTTGGAAGATAAATCTCCGTCCCAGTCTCAGGTCTCTTGCAGACTCAAACAGGTTTTCTTCCAGAATGGTCCTGTATTTGGTCCCATCCATCTTCCCATCAATTCTGACCATCTTCCCTGTCCCTGCTGACGAAAAGCAGGCCCACACCATGATGCTGCCACCACCATGTTTGACAGTGGGGATGGTGTGTTCAGGGTGATGAGCTGTGTTGCTTTTACACCAAACATATCATTTTGCATTGTGGCCAAACAGTTGGATTTTGGTTTCATCTGACCAGAGCACCTTCTTCCACATGTTTGGTGTCTCCCAGGTGCTTGTAACAAACTTTAAACAACACTTTTTATTGATATCTTTGAGAAATGGCTTTCTTCTTGCCACTCTTCCATAAAGGCCAGATTTGTGCAGTGTACGACTGATTGTTGTTCTATGGACAGACTCTCCCACCTCAGCTGTAGATCTCTGCAGTTCATCCAGAGTGATCATGGGCCTCTTGGCTGCATCTCTGATCAGTCTTCTCCTTGTTCCAGATGAAAGTTTAGAGGGACGGCCGGGTCTTGGTAGATTTGCAGTGGTCTGATACTCCTTCCATTTCAATATGATTGCTTGCACAGTGCTCCTTGGGATGTTTAAAGCTTGGGAAATATTTTTGTATCCAAATCCGGCTTTAAACTTCTCCAACACAGTATCTCGGACCTGCCTGGTGTGTTCCTTGGTCTTCATGATGCTCTCTGCACTTTGAACAGAACCCTGACACTATCACAGAGCAGGTGCATTTATACGGAGACTTGATTACACACAGGTGGATTCTATTTATCATCATCAGTCATTTGGGACAACATTGGATCATTCATAGATCCTCACTGAACTTCAGGAGTGAGTTTGCTGCACTGAAAGTAAAGGGGCCCAATAATATTGCACGCCCCACTTTTCAGTTTTTTATTTGTTAAAAAAGTTTGACACATCCAATACATTTCATTCCACTTCACAATTGTGTCCCACTTGTTGATTCTTCACAAAAAATTAAAATTTTATATCTTTATGTTTGAAGCCTGAAATGTGGCAAAAGGTTGAAATGTTTAAGGGGGCCGAATACTTTAGCAAGGCACTGTAAGCGCAGTCCATTTACCATTTAGTGCCCTAATGACTGATTGTTACTGTCCTAATGATTGATTGTTCGTTAGTTCCTTAATGGCCGGTCATTAGGGCACTGACGACTGACCATTAGTGTCCTAATGACTGATTGTTAGTGCCCTAACTATCGATCACTTATGATCAGGGCATTCGGTACTAATGATCAGTTGTTAGGCTAATGGTCCTCCTTGATCATGTGAACAGCTAGTTTTGGATGTCAACAACAAACTGGTTGATCCATTAGAAGGGGATATTCCTAAGACTGAGTTTAGTGCGGCTCATCAGACTGACACAGTCTTTTGGACAAAAGTTAAAATGTTTCAACATTTTTTTTGATCCGTCCAGAGAACCTGACTTAACTTTGTTAGATTTTTTAAGTCAACTCTTTTTTTGTCTTAGCACAATACTTCACAAACCAATGGGGAGCTGTCATAGAAACTAAGGGAATAATCATATACAGCTACAGCTGACTGATGTTTGGAGCCACCCCAATCAAAGATGGCCACAACAGCCAAATGACCCTAGAAAACATAAAAATGTCCAATTCAGTCAATTTACAAATATTAAGTAAGACTTTGATGTGGCAGTAACTGTTATTCAAAACGCATAATGCTAGTGTTACTCATTATGCTTGTTCGTCATTTGCCAAAACCAAAATGGCAATAACTTAGTTTTACAGATACTAAGCTACAATTAGGTGTGGTAGTAGCTGAGAATCATTCACAACAGATACTCTGAACATGACATCTCAAGGTACTGCATGAGATTGCACACATCTTTTCAAGTTTTGTCCTAAACGGCTTCAACTTTATCATTTTTCATCAAACACGATAATCTAAAACTCTGACATAAAAGGTGACCGGCAATATGTATTCAATCAAGGAATGCTAGGCCTTTAAGTGTATTATCCATTTAGATGAGCTGTTTCACAAACAAATCTATAAACATGCCAAATCGTTATGGTTGCAGGATTATTTATACAATGACAGATGGATGAAACCATACGTACGGACGTCCTTTTTGTTTTGCATTACTCTCATTTTCAACTAACTTATATAGTCTTTACATTACATGCTGTATGAGTGTTTTTGTAAGCTCTCACATCTTTGTCTCTAGCTAGAGGAGATAAGAGCTCCTGTAGTTCTCTCCCGAACAGATGTCCTCTCTGCTAACCACCCTTCCTTCTGCTCTAAATGTTCCTGCAGCTTTTCCATAAATGCATTAATCTTCTTATCACATGCAGCTCCATGTCGCTGCTGCTACAATCTGATGGATGGATCTTATCAGTCTTCTTGCCTGCAATGAATGAACTGATTTGTAACTAATAACGTGTACCTGCACGTGTCAGGATGTAGACTGAGACAGGAAACACATCTATACGATTACTTGGCATACTGTGATGTTTGTATAGCCTGGCGTTCTGCATTATGTAAGTCACACAGCTTAAAGAAAAGACCGAAAACTGTTTTCTTTTTACCCTGGTGAATCAATTTTAGTCGTCAGTCGGTCTTCACTGCTTTTTTCAGACACTCTGTCATGTCATAGCATATATTTTTCTAAATAAAAAGACTACTGTTGAACCTGTGACGTGCCAGCTCACTGACTCGGTTCAGCCTCGGGCGAGGAGTTGACCCGTTTTAGAGGTGCACTCCAGTTAATCTGCCGGCTGGCCTGTTGGCCTATTAATGTGGGATTAGGTTGGGATTTAGACAACCTGGAGAGGGCTCGGGGAAGCTCCACCTCATTGCTCTGATTTACTGTTGCTCTCATGCAGCTGCTTTTATCTAGCACTACCGCTGAGATGTAACGGAGAACATCGGTCATAGCGATGTGTTATGGGACATGAAAACCTCAGAATTTACAGCTGATGTGTCCTCAGGTGTTAAAAATTCTCTGGTCTGTTGTGAAGAAGGAGCCGAGCCAAAAAAACAAAACTCTTGATTTACTGGTCCATCGACATTCCACCCCTCACCTATGACTCATGAGGTGTAGATCATGACTGAGTTAAATATTAAATACTAGGAGCTGCAATGAGCTTCCTCCATACGGTGGCCGGGCTCACATTAGAGATCAGATGAGAAGCTCTGTTCTCTGGGGGAGCTCAACGTTGAGCCCCTTGTCTTTTGAATCAAAAGGAATCACACGAGGTGACTTTGCCTCTTGGTTGTTTTCCTGGAATAGCCCACCCACTCATATATCGTCTTTACCTGCTTCTTCCTTTTTCAGATCACAGGGGTCACAGGTGACCCATGTCCAGCAATTACTATGTGAGAGGCGGGGTACACCCTGGACAGGTCTCCAGTCCATCACAGGGACACATAGAGACAAACAAGACAAACAGCCATTCACTCTCTCACTCTCATCTAGGGACAATTTAGAGTTACCACTCAGTCTAACATGCATGTTTTTGGTTTGTGGGAGGAAACAGGCGTACCCGGAGAAAACCCACGCATGCACGAAGAGAACTTGCAAACTCCACCCAGAAGGGCCCCCAGACCGGGATTTAAACCGGGGACTTGCTCACTGAGAGGCAGCAGCTCTACCAACTGCGCCACCGTGCTGGAGGAACTCACTGGGAGGAAATTTTGTGCCATATTTGAGATGAGAATGCATCGGGACCCCCAGGAGGAGCCACAGATTGTTATTGGGAAATAGAATGTCTGGGTTTCTTTTTTTAAACCCGTTGCCTCTGTAATTTGACCATACATAGAAAAGAAAATGAATTGACAGATGAACTTTTAGCAGCATATTTCCACAATACTTCCACATACATCAATGAATGTGCGACACCTCAGGTCCACCTTTGCACAACTCTCTCGGACTACATCAGGATGTACTTTAGAATATTATGCCTCACTAGTGTGACACTACAACCATAGTAATCATGCCAATGCATATCCAAGACCACATCCAATCTTTTTTCTTTTTCATTCAGAAGTCTCGTCCTTACTATGATGAGAGTAAGTGTGCTTGTTTTGTGTCCAATAGTGACAAATGGAAAACAATTAAGCATGGTACAGTACTTATTGGAAAAGAGCCAGAAGAAGAGCGTGGATTTGTTGTTGTCGCCCCATTGAATCAGAATCAGAATAAACTTTATTGGCCTTGCACAGAGGTACAACGCGAATATGTATGTACAGTTGTCCGAAAGATGGGCGGAGTGCACGAAGCTGCAACTATAGAAAGCGCGGCCTTCTTATCCTTATCAGATAATAATCTTAGATAGGAAAAGGGGGAGAAACATGAGGGTAGATAGTGGTATTACAAAAAAAAGATCTTTCACATCTTGTCCATCAGGACATGATTTGAGACATCAAAAAACTACCAGCAGCACAATTAAAACATGATTACATTTGACATCAAGGTGTTGAGATTTGTCCATAAGCGTTTTTTCAGATCAGCCACAGTTTCTGAAGATGTTGTTTCAGCGAACAGTTCTGATAAGCTTGCACAGAAAGTTCTCGGGGTGGGGGGGGGGGGGGGTGTGCAATAGATGAAGCTTTTGTCCTTGGTTACTCATGACCCAGGAGAAATTTGATAGTCGGCCCGTCTCTGAGGCCGTCGGGAGTCAGATTTAGATCAGCTTGATTCTTGTTTTTCTTCAGGCAGACAGATTACTTTTTTCCAGCCTTGAGTCCATCTGGGCGTTCTGGTTCCAAAAATGCCTAATTGTGGGATTCCATTCCACTGATCCATTCTATGAGTCTCCTTCAAGGTCGAACCCACCACGCTGACGAGTCCCAGAAGCCGCAGGTGGCCTGCGATTCTCATAAATCGCCTCCACCTTACAGTTAAGCTCGTAGACCAGATGATTTAAAGTTCCTACTGCACGGATCAAACCTTCACACTGACTCGGGAGCTTTTCTATGGCAGAAACTGCTGCCGATGTTTTCTTCAAAAGTCGATAAAACAGAGCCCCGCCGATGCCAATAAGCAGAGTTCCTGCTATCATAATTCCAAATATGTAAATGTCTTCAACATCCTTTTGAGACAGGACTGAGAGGCACATCAACTGCCACACTCCCACACGGATCCATGACGTACCCCACAGCGCGAGTCTCAGCTGGACACGCTGGTTCTCCAGGACCTTGGAGTTTCAATAACGTGATTAGAGCTCTGCCAGTGCTTTGTGGGTAAGGGGTCATAGGTAGCCAAGCCAATGTGGTCAGTCCTCTTCAAATTCTTGATGACCAACCTACTTGTGGTTCTGTCATGGACACACCGTCCCCATGCTCCAGTCAGGACTCTGATACGCTCATGCTCAAAATTACTGTGGACTTACTCCCCTTTAATGAGGTGCCCATTGTTTGTAATATGCACCTGAATATATACCTCATCAAGACTCTACGTCGTGTTTTTTTTTGGTTGGGGCGTTACTTTCTACCTTCAACACCATAAATAGCATTGCCCCCATGAATTTAATGACACCTGACATCCACAGACAGCATCCTGCTAACTAGACCCAGGTCACACTTGAGGTGTTTTCTGTTAGAAGTATGATAGAAATCTTGCCCACCGGAAATCCAGCAAATTAAATAATTTATCTTTTTAATGATTCATTCTTACTTATTTGTTGATTTGTCATGTCAGACTGATCTACTCAAACTGTTTAATGTCATCATTACCTTCAGATAGAATTGCGTGTTACGAGCTGACTCACTGGACCTGAACATAGAATGGACATTGAACAGTCTTTTTTTATAAAAAGAGAAGGTAAAAATCCCTAACAGACCCACTAGGCAGCATATTCCAGAACCCGGAAGTTCCCTTAACTCTACACAGATGTAGCTAGTTAGGACAAGTAGATGGAGGAGATTGATGCAGTATCTCTTGCAAGGTCAGTGAGGATGTAGAGGAGCAAAATAACTCCACCACCCTCTCTCTTCAGAACTTGGTACTGATTTTCTTTCCTGTTCTACTAGAAAATACTTTTTCTTTCCTTGTAGGCCAAGAATATACCAATTTAGCAAGTACCGTACTTCAGGTCTCTCTTGTAAATGAGTCCCTGAAGCTCAATGGAATTAACCTGTAAAAATAAAGGTTGAACTTTATAGTAGTTACATCTCGCTGAGGTAAAAGAGTAAAGAGAAAGAGTCACTAATCTAGGAGTGATACTTGACCCTTCTCTGAAACTCAACAATCATGTAAATATGATTGTTAAATTCTGCTTTTTCCAGCTGAGGTGACTGTCTAATCTGAAGCCCATACTGTCCAAAAATAACCTGGAGACAGTAATTCATGCATTCATTACATCCAGGCTCGACTATTGTAACTCACTCCTTTTTGGTATCAGTCAGACCTTCATAGTTAGACTCCAACTGGTCCAAAATGCAGCAGCCCGGTTTTTGACCAGCACAAGCAAAAGAGAGCACATTACTCCTGTTTTGGCCTCCCTACACTGGCTTCCAGTTCACCTTCGAATCAAATTCAAAATACTCTTGTATGTCTATAAATCACTAAACAGCTCTGCCCCCTCCTATCTTACTGATCTGCTCCAGCCGTATGTCCCACCACGTTCTCTCAGATCAGCAGACCAGTTGCTCCTAACAGTCCCAGGAACCCGTCTCAAGCGCAGAGGTGACAGGGCCTTCTCTGTAGCAGGACCAAGACTTTGGAATGAGTTACCTCTGCTCGTTAGACAGGCCCCCTCCCTCACAGTTTTTAAAACTCGCTTAAAAACACACTTTTATTCCCTGGCTTTCAGCACTGTGTGATCTGTGCTGAGTCTGTGTGCATCACACTGTGTTGGTCATGTTGCGGTTGTTGTTGTTATCCATTACTGTTTTTGTCGGTTTCTACTTTTTGGTGTCCTGTTATGTAATCTGTTGCTGTGTGCTTGTTCTGTTTTGTCTCTGTACAGCACTTTGGTGTGCTTTGTCACTGTTTAAAGTGCTTTATAAATAAATTGGTATGGTATAGGTAATGTCTTTTTATTCTGAGATTTGAAATCTCAATTTGACAGAAGCAAACAGAGGACAGCTGTCCTTTGTCAGCAGTGCCCGACTTTTTATCTCCAGATACTAATGGTGTGGGATTATACATTCAGAGTAAAACAGTGTTCAGTGCTCTGTTCTAATCACTCACTTGCATTAATTAAAATCACAAAATACCAGACAGAGATGTGAGCAGAGTGCACATTCACCTGGAATATGTAAGCCACAGGAGTAGGTCACAGACTGGACTCGGTTCTGTGTGTGCATCATGTTCAAGGACTTGACCTCAGCGTAGGAAAAGCTGAAAACTTGTTTATCGCCTTCCGCCATTTGTGGGTTTTCAGTTGTAAACCTGTCATCTTTGCAGAAAGTCAGTGGCAGCGTGCCTCTCAGAGTTACAGTTTCAGGAAAACAAAACACACCAAACATCAAATTAAAAAACTAAAATGAAAACTTAAGTCAAATTCTTTCATTTTGTTGTTCATGACAAATGAAAAAGACAAACAAATCAAGACTTTTATTAGATTTTTTTCCCCTTACAAATACATCTCACTTACATGATCAATCTTTTATTTTTTATTTATTTTATTTTATTTTTTAGAAATCTGTGGTTTTAGAAATGTCACTCAAAACTCGAGGGATATGCATAGGAGTCAATGTCCAGCTCCGTCACAATTTGTTTTGCCACTTTTTTTTTTTTTTGTTCAGTTCAGTTTTCCAAAAAAAATGGAATGTTTATTTTTTCATTCAAATGTTTGAACATTTTTTTAATGGAAGTTCACAGGGTAACACTGACTGACTGATGAAAGTTTGCAAATGTCCACATGCAAGATAACTTCATTCAAATCTCTTAAACACGTACAGGCTGATTTAGAAGAGACAGTACTTTGTGCGCGAGCGCACCGGTTTCAGATCCGAACTGAGCACTAACAAGATAGATGAGAGGAATTAACGTGTTACGGCTCAGAAAACAACTAGATGAATAAGTAACGGGGGCTGCTGATATGACCTACAGGGGATAAGACACTGCAGTGTGTTTGTGTGCTTTTCCCTCGGTCTGCTGAGAGAATATCACTGTCAGTGTCTGACTGGAGGTGGTTCACGTCACCCAACAGGACTACAGCGTGCGACAAACATGAGGACAGGAACACGGTACTGTCTCTTTAAAACAAACATCTATTAAAAAATTGCCTTGTAGCTAGTACAGACATGACAATATTCACTTTTTGTTAACTCTGTTTTTGTACAACACCGTGACATAGGCCATTTGCCGGAGTCCGACTCTGAGCTGCAGAGGGGGAGGGGGTGCAGTCTGGGGAATGCTGTGGTTGCTTTCACACCACGTTCAAGACATTTCTGATCCAGTTCTTCTGATTTATACCAGATAGTGTTTTTTATCTTCATAATGTCATAATGATATGTACAGAGGATGGTCCAAGGTACTGCTGCTGGAGTGAGGTTTGGCTGAGTTCAGTAGACCCAGGACACAGGGACCCACTGACTGGTGGTGCACACCTGCTCCATAGCCTCCTCCAGGTGCCCGATGGTCTCGTCAATCTCGTTGTTGATAATGGTCATGTCAAAGTAGTGGGCGTAGGTCTTCTGCAAGACTTCTGACTCTCTCTGTAGCCGTTGGAGTGACTCGTCCTGGAGAAGGAGGAGGAGTCAAGTCTTGTCAAATTTATTTATAATCACATTTAAAAACAGCAGCTGTTACCAAAGTGCTTAACAATAAAATCAATGGCAGTAATTATTAAAGAAAAAATAACAAACTTAAAAGCATCAAAAGAAAAACAAAACATAAAACAACAAAATACTAAATCAAATCACACTGTGTTAAACATCAGTGAATACAGGTGTGTTTTTAAAAGAGATTTAAAAGCAGGAAGTGAAGTGGTCTGTCTAATGTTGGGGGGCAGATTGTTCCAAAGTTTAGGACTGAAAAAGCCCGATCTCCTCTGAGCTTCAACCTGGTCTTTGGTACAACCAAAAGCAGCTGGTCAGATGATCTCAGTACCAAGAAGGTTGAAGTAGATCAGAGAGATATGATGGTGTGAGGCCATTTAGGCACTTAAAGGTCAGCAGGAGAAATTTAAAATCTATTCTGATACGTACAGAGAGCAAGTGAAGGGAGGACAAAACTGGTGAAATATGATCAAACCTACAAGTTCCTGTTAATAGCCAAGCTGCATTTTGGACAAGCTGGAGACGTGAAATGGAGACCTGACTGAAGCCAACATAAAGTGTGTTACAGTAGTCCAGTTGAGTTGTTATGAATGCATGGACTATTTTTTCAAGGTCAGATCTTGTCAACACGGACTTAAGCTCAACTATCTGCCTTAAATGGAAGAAGCTTTTTTGTAGAACAGAGCTAATCTGTTTATTAAACTTAAAGACAGAGTCTAAAGCTATCTTGAGATTTGTAACTGACTGCATAAGACATATGTGTCAAACTCAAGGCCGGGGGCCGAATGTGGCACTAGTTGACATATTATCTGGGCCCCCAAGATGATATGTGAAATGTAAAATACTTCTCTTTACTTTTTCAGTAATCTTTGATTATAATGTTGACAGCACAACAAAGAACATCAAATGAGACCAATCGAACTCTTGTTGAGAAACCTGTAACCATGAAAAGATGTTGGGTATCTGATGCGAGTTAGTGTGGTTTTTGAAATTGGCCCTTAGATGGAAAAAGGTTTTAATTTAGGCCCCTTTTGTAGGTGAGTTTGGCACCCCTGGCTTAAGATATGGCTTAAGACAGTCAAGGCTTATAGGAACAAAGACAGCAGTAGAGCTAGGGCTAAACACAATAACTTCAGTTTTCTGATCATTGAAACTAAAAAAAAATTGAAGCAATCCATGCCTTGATGTCATCAAGACATTTTAACAGAGGGTGAATTGTGCATGAATTTTTGGGTTTTAAGGGCAGATAAATCTAAGAATCATCAGCATAACAATGAAAAGAAAGACTGTGTTTCCTCAGGTTAGACCCAAAGGGAGCAGATACAGTGAAAACAGAAGGTGTCCAAGAATTGAGCCCTGCAGAACCTCACAGGAATGAGGCACTGAAGCAGATAAAATACACTGCCTGGCCCAAAAAAAAGTTGCCACCTGGATTTCACTAAGCAAATAGGTACGAGCCTCTTATTGGATAATTACTGCATGGTTGATTATTTTCAGCTGCAACAAGTTATTTAACCCCAACTGCTGCAATGAGTTGCTTCTCATTTCTTAAACAACCATCTTGAAAGACATCGTGTGGTCGTGGAAAAGATGTCAGTCTGTTTGAGAAGGGTCAAATCATTGGCATCAAGCAGAGAAAACATCTAAGGAGATTGCAGAAACTACTATGATTGGGTTAAGAACTGTCCAACGCATTATTAAAATCTGGAAGGATAGTGGGGACCTATAGTCTTGGAGGAAGAAATGTTTCTGGAAAAAACTTCTGAATGATCGTGATCAGCGATCACTTAAATATTTGGTGAAATCAAATCTAAGAAAAACAACAGTAGCACTCAGGGATATGCTTAATAGTGAAAGTAAGAGCTTTTCCACATGCACAATGTGAATGGAACTCAAGGGATTGGGACTGAACAGCTGTGTAGCCTTAAGAAAACCACTAATCAGTGAGGCTAACTGGGAAAAAAAAAAGGCTTGAATTTGCTAGGGAGCATACAGATTGGACTCTGGAGCAATAGAAGAAGGTCATGTGGTCTGATGAGTCCAGATTTACCCTGTTCCAGAGTGATGGGTGCATCAGGGTAAGAAGAGAGGCAGGTGAAGGGATGCACCCATTATGCCTAGTGCCTACAGTAGTCATCAATGCAAGATCTTGGTGGAAAATTAATGCAGCACTGGATGGAAACAGATCTTGTGACATTGCAGAAGCTTATTGAAACAATGCCACAGTGAATGATGTAATCAAAGCTAAAGGCGGTCCAATGAAATACTGTGACCTATTTTTTTTGGTGGTGACTTTTTTTGGCCAGGCAGTGTATTACTAACATTAACACAAAAACTCCTGTCCAGGGAGGGGGAAGACAGGGAGCAGATGAGAGTTTGAAACCTATAGAAGCAGAGAACAGAGGGATTGATCCAACACAATGTGTCAGAACTGAAAGTTGAAGGGAAAACACTGATAGGGTTTTCTGCTAAAGAGGTATTTGACCAGGGCTGATTCTTTAGAGGTCTGCGTTATGAACCAGTTTGGTTTTTCACAGAGGAAGAGTCAACTCAGAGTCATGTCATTACGTCACATTAGGAGGAAAGTCCAATAATCCTTGAAGTGTTGTTCTATCAGATAGTTATCAACAGTCAGTTTATTTTTATCCATGACTTCAGTCATTGAGCACTAAGTATGGAAAAAGAGGCAAAGGTCTTTGTCCAGGCTAGCCAAATGACTGACAGTTGTTCATGTTTTTCAGGCTTATAAAACTTTTTTTTCAATAGTTTGTAAAAGAATGGTACATTAGGTAATATTAAGCCTACTTCTGAATGCTTAGTTTGTAAACCAAACAATGCCGGAACGCAAACAGCAAGGGGGTTGTCTGGGGGTCCACAACACACATAATAAATAGCAAGAACATAAAGACTTCTTATTTCTGTTAAAGTAAAGTATTATGTCTGGTTCGTCTTTTGATTGGTTGCTGGTTGGCTGTTGTTCCTGAAAAAGAGGTTCTTTGCTCTGACCCAACAAAGAGTTGGTCTTGAGTCAGCCCTAGATTTTTGGTGCAAAACCTACTAATACAGAAGGAGCTAGTGCTAAGGCTTTGTTTAAGCACTGGAACCTGTTAGTTGTGTGTGTGTGTTTGGGGGGGGGGGGACAACAGAAAGCAAAGAAGTACTGATTTCTGGAACAAGGAGCTCAAAACTATACATGCACACACACAAACACTTGATTTTAAAGGTACACTTTGTGTTCAGTCAGGTCTAACTTACTGGCAGCGTTCGACACCACCTGGGTGTCTGAGGTGAGCATCAAAGAAACAAACGCATGCAGCATGCAAAATGAAAGGAGTGCAGAGAGAAATGAGAGAGACTGCCGGTCCACATGCATGAGAAACCTGATATATTGGTGCACAAGCCTTCACTGAGACAATAGGTGCGTTACTAGTTTAACCAACTATCACAACTGAGAATGTCTTAACCTGGCAATGGCTTTTTTGAGGTTTGCTTTGGTGGAACAAACTGAGTTTTAAATACTTTCTTTCATTTTAGAGAGAAACAAAAATCAAGAAAAACGTATATATTTTCATTACACTTTTTTGAGTTTGTGATTTCTCCTAAATGAGAAGCATTTTGGAAAAATTAAAAAACAATGATGCTAACAACTGTTGGCAAACTTCCAGAGGAAAAATAAAGTACAGTTTGTGAATTTAAAGGTTTAAAGGTTCTGGACACGTCCCACCAGAAGGAGACCCAGGGGAAGACCCGGGACACGCTGGAGGGACTATGTTTCTCGGCTGGCCTGGGAACGTCTCGGGATCCCCCCGGAGAAGCTGGCCCAAGTGGCTGGGGAGAGGGAAGTCTGGGCCTCTCTACTTAAGCTGCTCTACTTAGGGGGCGGATGTGGCTGAGTGGTTAGAGCAATCGTTTGCCAATGCAAGAGTTGGGGGTTCGAATCCACCAGCAGTTACATGCCGAAGTGTCCCTGGGCAAGACACTGAACCCCTCATAGCCTCTGATGTGTGTCCCATCAGTGTATGAATGTGATAAAGCTCTGATTAGTCTCTTTAGAATGATTTGTTCAATTATCTTTGTAGAGATCTAGTAGAGTGCTGTATGAATGGGTAAATGAGGACACAGAGGTGCTATATAAGTACAGTCCATTTACTATTTACCATTTTACTCCCGCAACCCGACCCCAGACAAGCAAAAGAAAATGGATGGATGGATTTTAGGGTAAAATAAATGTTGGTACTTCAGGGCTTAAAATGAGACATACATAAGATTAATTGAATTAAGTGACCATAAACTCCTCTGTAGACCAAATGATTCTGGAGTCAAATGTGAGCCCATCTGTCTTTTTTGCTTTTCTTTCCGCTGCTCCCTTCTTCAGGGGTTGCCACAGCGAACTAAGTCGCACAAAGACTTGGCAATTATTTTTACGCCGGATGCCATTGCTGACACAACCACAGACCACCGAGCTACCACAGCCCTCTGAGTGGAGCAGAGAGCTGCCATCTGGGGCGCCCGGGGGAGCAGATGGTGGAGGTTAAGGGCCTGACCTCTGCTCCACCACTTCCCGTGAGCCCATCTGTCTATTTGCTAAAATTTGGACCAAACTGGATCCTGTAACTGGACAATAATCCTAAGTGTGAGAAAAAATAAAACCTAAAAAATAAATCTTAAATCAGACTGAAATCCATTGTTGGGACCTTAACAAAGCTGTGTAAAAGAAAATGTATGAAAATCTCAATAATCTGAACAAAAATAAAGCTGAGTGAAGCAAAATTTCTCAACAAAGTGGTGAGTGACCAAGTCCAACAGGACATTATCTCATGTTGTTGTTGCTAAAGATGGTTTAACGAGCTGCTAAATGATGAGCAGCAAACAGTTTTTCACTACTGATGTCCAGCTGAGAAAAAAACCACAAAACAATACAGTAAAAACTTAGATGTCAAAATGTGTCCCCTTTCTTTAACTTGAATATTTCTGTCCAGTCCAAATGTAAACCTTAAAAACCGGACATATTTATACTGAAGTTCCTGACTTTAGCAGATTTCTTTTATGAAACAGGAAGACATTTTCAGTTGTGTATGAAACACATGGTAAGTCGATAATTTTTCATGATTAAGAAAGGTAACAGCAAACAGGCAGGAAGTAGGAAGGTACTTTGTACAAAGATGATTGCTTCTTTGGGTCTTTTCATGAAAGGGAGTGACTAACACCATCATTTTAGTAATTGTGTCTGGTGTGTTCATACCTCATTGATGCCTGGTGTGATAGTTGGAGCAGCAATAAAAATTATATATGGCGCAAACTCTGCAGTCCGCAGGACCTTTAGGGCCTAAAACAAACCTCACGTTAAAGATCAAAGTGGCCTTAAAAATAAAGCGAGTGCAATCTCTCTTTCACACACCTGAGGTTCAACGTCTAGTATAGCAACAAGTCCCTGCTCGTGAATCTTCCGAATGGTCTCCAGCCGCGTCCCGTACATGGCGTCCTCATGGCTGCCGTACTCCAGGTATTCATTGTTGCTGATGTCCTGCATCATCTGGTCGTGAGAAACAAAGTAGTAGTTTTTCCCGTTATCCTCGTCCTTCTTTGGAGGTCTGGTTGTGTCTGCAGGACAGAGAAGCACACACATAAAGTTAGGGTTTACTCTGTGACGTGCAGTGCTAATGTGAAAAATCTCCACCATGCGTCTTACGTGGGATGGGGTAGGCAAATCTGTCAGGGTGTTTGGTTATGATTGTGTTCTTGATGTGTCTTCTGCCCACTCCATGAGCACCTGACAAAAACAAACATGGATCGTTAGAGAGGTTGTTGATGAATTTTTCTGCTACACTTGATGTAACTCACCTAACAAAACTAGTGTTTTCCTCTTGAAGGCAGGAAGCTTCACGACCTCTTCGTACGTGACCAGATCTAGTTGATCAAACACTGAAGTAGGAGAGAGAATGAATACGTACGTTAGGATGATGAGCTCTGTGCTCAGATAGACAAAAAGCAAGCAGGAAGCTCAAAAGGAACAAACTGGAACACAACTGGTAGCTACTGGATATATATATATATATATATATATATATATACACACACACACACACACACACACACACACACACACACACACATATTATTTTTTTACTGTAAGCTTTTTTTATTTATTATGTCTGAAATGTATCCAGCGACTCAAATCTCAGTCATTGCACATTTTTATTTTGATTCTTTATTAAAAACACAACAAAAGGAGATGTTGCCCAGTCTGTGGAGTGGATGTTCCAGCCTCACTACGTGCACCAGCTCGGGCACACTCTACTGCACAGCAGAGACGCGGACCGCATGTCCCGCAGGGAGCGTATTCATCCTTATTTTTAATTTTATTAAAATTATTTTTAATAAATAATTATTTATTATTATTATTGTTAATAAATAATCAAAATAAAAAATGCACGATGACTTTGGACTTTTAGGGGCGGAGATTTGAGTTGCCGGATCCTAGCAAACAGTCGCCGGAACACAGCCTGCCAAAATAAGAGAGTTCCCAGCTCCTGTTCCAGCAGGATCCAGCTCAAATTAAGCACTGGTTGTACCGGTCTGTCGCAGTGAAGGGAGAGCTGAGTCAAAAGGCGAAGTTCTCAATTTAACGGCCGATCTACGTTCCTACCCTCATCTATGGTCATGAGCTTTGGGTTGTGACAGAAAGAACGAGATCTTGAATACAAGCGGCCAAAATGAGTTTTCTCCGCAGGGTGTCTGGGCTCTCCCTTAGAGATAGGGTGAGAAGCTCAATCATCCGGGAGGGACTCAGAGTAGAGCCGCTGCTTCTTCACATCGAGAGGAGCCAGTTGAGGTGGCTCGGGCATCTGGTTAGGATGCCTCCTGGACACCTCCCTGGTGAGGTGTTCTGGACACGTCCCACCAGGAAGAGACCCAGAGGAAGACCCAAGACACGCTGGAGGGACTAGCTTTATATACATGTATATATAAATTCATAGTCATAGGGAAAGTGAGTGGCGGCGGTCTATCTCTCTGCCTGAAAAAAAACATCACCATGGGCTACAATGATGCAACATTAGCCAAGAACGGAACAGCCATCCAGGTTGAAATGAGGAAGAAAACACGGCCAGTGACGGTCAGCAAAATGCCCTTTGTCCCCACAAACTATTTCTCTGGTTGAGTGACACACTCATTCACATAAAAACACTGGAGCAGTCCTCATCAATCCACTTGTATTATTATCACCTTTGAGCTGTTAGTACAACAGTCTGGTCAGAACTAAACTTTACATGTCAAAAGTTATCTGCAACATCTAAAACTTTTCCACAGGTAAAAAAATAATAAAAAAATAGGACTGTTCCTTTAAACAGCGTGTGAAGTCTGTTTACAGTACAACATTTTTCAGTCAGGTCATCTGGACAGTTTCTTTTTTTTTTGTGCTGAAACTTTTCACCTTCCATCCAGAAGGCTTCATCAGTCAAGGAAACACACAACAAAACTGATTCTTCCCCCAACAGCTTACTCTAAAGTGGAACAAACCAGTTATGTTGGTGCTAAGATGGTCTCTTTGGCACGCACATCCACCGTTGCCGGCCCTCTTCCTCATCGACAGTCATGTGAAACTGGTTGAAAACAACAAAGTCCATGCTCAATAATCCAGGTATACAATCCACCATTTTTCAGTCAGGTCACCAACATAACTGGTACGTTCCACTTTGGAGTAAGCTGTTGGGGGAAGAATCAGTTTTGTTGTGTGTTTCCTTGACTGATGAAGCCTTCTGGATGGAAGGTGAAACATTTCAGCACAAAAAAAGAAACTGTCCAGATGACGTGACTGAAAAATGTTGGATTGTATACCTGGATTATTGAGCATGGACTTTGTTGTCTGTTTACAGTAACTGATTCTGTCTGAAGACTTTCTGTAATGTTTTTTTTCAGTACGTCAAACTGAACATACTGAGAAATTCAAATAGGGGAACAGTCTTCGTCATTTTCAAGAATTAAAATAAAAACCTTTACAGTAAATGCTGAGTGGACCTTTGTTGACTGTAAACTTTTCTGTGAAATGAAGTGCAGCTGGTCTGTGCTGCAGAGCGTCGTGGTGAAGCAGAGCTGATCTTAGTACAGTTAGTACAGTATGTCCTCAGCTTCTGAAATACGACTCTTTGTGCAGCAACCATCTCGGCTGGCTGACAAGTGAAATAAAATACCCACAAGTCTCTGGGTTCTGTGTACAAGAGACAGCTGCTCTGACTGAAGATCAACATTTACAGATTCCATAAAGATCTTCTCTGATGTCTGAAGTTTTCCTGACTTTGTATTTGTAGCTCTGCTGATGAGCACATGTGCATGAATGCGTGTGTTGGGGTGACCATCACGGGGACACAGGGTAATATGCATGGTTTCAGTTTTGTCTCAGTTTTTGTTGCTGCACAAAAACAACAGAAACAAAAGTGAAACAGCTCAAATCAAAGGAGTGAATGAAGCGACAGAAGAAGAGAGGGAGGAGGAGCTGCTGCTCGCCGTCACTGGTTCTTACTTACATGCAGGTCGATCGTTGAGGAAGCAGGAGAGAACAACAGGAGGGGTCATAACATGGTCATCTTACAGTATTAGAACTTGTTACAGAAAAACTGCAAGATAGCAAGCAGTAATTGTACAGCAGAACAATGAAGACGGACACAGACTGTTCCTGTTAGATGCCAAACTCACACAGACAGGTGATATTTTACTCAGTGAGAGAACAACCAGCAACACGTTAGTGCCGACACTATCCAAGGTACATGACAGAACATGATTATGTGGCCACATTTAGGCCTGGATTTAACTTTTTACACGTACAGCAGTGAAATATTTTGTGCACACACTGTAGTACCTGCTGGATGCTTGCTGAGCTACAGAAGCTTGCAGGTAAATGGACTGTACTTATACAGCACCTTTGTATCTCATCAAGACACTCAAAGCTCTTTACAACAATCTGTGTCCTCATTCACCCATTCATACAGCACTCTACTAGATCTCTATGATTATATTCACACACCGATGGGACGCACATCAAAGACAATGAGGGGCTCACTGTCTTGTCCAGGGACACTTCAGCATGTGACTACCACTAAACACTCAGTCACAGCTGACCCCTACAAATAGCTGAAACTGATCAATACTTTATTTTTATTTTTTATGTTATTGTACTCTATTAACCCCCAATGGGGAAATGAATTATCTGCATTTTTTCCATTGCACATATGAGCACACATGTGAAGCAGTGGGCTGCCGTCTAAGGTGCTCGGGGAGCAGCTGAGGGGGTTAAGGGCCTTGCTCATCAGCCCAGAATGGGGTAAATGAGGGTAGAGGCAGGTGTGGGTGCTTCACCTTTTCCACCTACATTTTGATGTTGTCGGTCCGGGGAATTGACCGGCGACCCTCCGATCACAGACCTACCCTCTCTAACCACTGCACCACCACTCCCTGTTACTAATGTGCCAACGGGGTCAGTCTGGTTACTAACAGCAGCATCAGTCATGTCTTTCTGATGTTTCCTTTTCACCTCAGAGCTAAATCCTCAAGTTTCTTTTCTCAGCCTGTGTGTGTAAAAGGTTTGGGTACTACACAAAAATAACACATTCTGCCAAAAGGTTTGTCAGGAATTCCAAGGAAATAATCAGAAATTTTACAGTAATTTTGGAAGTTACATATGAAACGTTTGATGCAGGAAATCATCACAGTATTGTTATTTGGGTTACGAGACAAGCATGGATAAAAACCCATGACTCTGAACTCAGTGCATTCATATACACATTTATACAACCCTTAAAGTCAAGCTTCATTCCTGCTTCAATCTCTTCTAAAACTGTTTGTCCCCGATGTGAGTAAACAAAAACACTTTTGACAACATTACTCCTCTGCTGCTGTCAGAGAAACCATAAAGGACTGGATTCTTGGATCTTCTTAATTTGTATAAATTTAAAACTGGGAACCCCCAGAACTCTTCAGCTCCTCGTTTTTAAACTTCTACTTTCACTTTATTGAACATGAGGAATGAAAACGGTTCAAGAAGAAGAGTGAAAGAATGGTGAAGCTTTTCTTTTAACAGCTGTAGTTGGAGTTGGGGAGTCGATGCACACAGTTTCACAGACATCTTTCAGCTGCTCCATCAAGGGGCTACCACCGCCAGTCGTTTGCCACATCTCACCCTATCCCAGCATCCTCCTCTGTGCTGGGGGGAGGGTGAAAAAGAGGACATGCATGCTCCTTGCATTTTCTCCTCCACCAGATCCATGAACTTTCTTTGTGCTCTTCCTCTTCCTCTCCTCCCTGACAAAATCCTTTGTCCAATACATCCACAGTCCCTCCTCTGGACGTGTCCAAACCAACTCAGCCTCTAATTTTGTCTCCACACTACTCAGACTGAACTGTCCCTCTGTTATGCTCATTTTTTATCCTGTTCATTTTAGTACCTCCCAATGAAAATGAGAAGATTTCCATCTCTATCATGTCCAGCTCTTCACCATCTTTTTGTTAGAGCCACCGTCTCCAAACCAAACATGCACCATGTAAACTTTCCCTTCCACTTTTGCAGCTCTCCTTCTGTCACCAACCAAAGCTCTTGTTTACATCCACTCCACCCAGCCCCTATCTTCACCTCTCTTCTGCACTACTTACAATTTTAAATGATCAACCTCACATACTTAAATTCCTCCACCTTTAATAACTCAACTTCTTGCAGCTTCACTGTTCCACCTGACTCGCTCTCATCCAAACACAAGGATTATGTCTTTGTTTTTACTGATTTTCAACCCTCTTCTCTCCGAAGCATGCCTCTATCTCGCCAGGTTCTCTTCCACCTGCTCCCAACTCCCCTTATAGATCAAAGTTGTCTGCTAACATCATAGTCCGTGTGGAATCCTGCCTGAAACAGATGTTTGTCATCTCCACAATGCCTTCTTGATATCATGCGTACCCAGAGAGAACGTCTTCATTAAAGCTGGAAAAAACTCTTAAAATTAAAGCATCTCTAAGGGAGCGCACATCACCTGCTGCCTTTCATGCCAGAGTTGACTTCCATACTGTAACTTATAATAAAAAGGGACAGAGTTGTAGATGTTTTGTTAAAATCTTATGACTTTATGCATAGTCTTGTGTGATGCTGTGAGAAGACAACAAACATTGGCTCAATATTTGTATATGTGACTAAGGTGTATACAGTTTGTGTTGATTAGCTGTGGTGACCCCAGCTAGTTGTAGATGCATATCCAACAATTATTTTTGAGGGTTTCACTAAAACCCATTCAGTGGTCCATGAGATCATTTGTTTATGTAGTGATTGAATTACGTGTTGGTAATGACACTCAGCTTGTGCCATACCAAATTTTAGAGCTCAATTTTTGTAAAATTGACTGAATTTTAGTCACTTTTTGAGTTTTTTGGTGTTGGTAAGTGGAGAAGAATGAAGAAACCATATGAGCGGGGGCCTCGTAGGTGGGCCCATTGCTCTCCCCAAAAAGACATTGAGCTTTATTTAACCCTTTGCGTCCCTTGGACACATGGTCTGAAACACTCAGGGTTCTGAAATTCTCGGGATCCATGAAGGGTTCCCCAAAAGTTCTCTCTTTGACTGCTCAGAACCAGGCATGAGTGCAAATAGATGTTTTTGGTGGGTTTAATAATGCATATTAGCTGTGGCAACCATCCTGAATAGGTACGTCCCCAAATTTAATTAGTTGTAAAATCTATTGCTTTCTTTGAGTCAAGGGTGAGATTCTGCCTCAAGTGGAGGAGTCCAAGTATCTCGGGGTTTTGTTGACGAGTGAGGGAAGAATGGAGCATGAGATTGACAGACAGACTGGTGCAGCGTCTGAAGCATTGTGGACTCTGTGCCGGTCTGTTGTGGTGAAGAGGGAGCTGAGCTGAAAGTCAAAGCTCTCTGTTTACCGGTCGGTCTACGTTCCTACCCTCAACTATGGTCACGAGCTCTGGGTAGTGACTGAAACAATGAGATCATGGATACAGGAGGTTGAAATGAGTTTCCTCTGCAGGGTAACTGGACTCTCCCTTAGAGACAGGGTGAGAAGTTCAGTTATCAGGAGAGACTCAGAGTAGAACCGCTGCTCCTCCATATCGAAAGGAGCTAGTTGAGTTCGAGTATCTGCTTAGGATGCTTCCTGGGCGCCTCCTTAGAGAGGCGCTTCAGGCATGTCTGACTGGAAGGAGACCCCAGGGAAGACCCAGGACATGCTGGAGAAACTACGTCTCTCGGTTGGTCTGGGAACACCTTGGAGTCCTCCCAGAAGAGCTGGAAGAGGTGGCTGTGGAAAGAGATGTCTGGTCCTTCCTGCTCAAGCTGCTTCCCCGAGACCTGACTTCAGAACAACAGGAAGATAATGGATGGATGAAAGTGTATCCATCAATTATTTTCTGTTTCATTAAAATCTATTCACTGGTTTATAAGATTTTTTTGCTAACATTACAAACAAACACATGCTTGTGCAAATCATTATCACCCGCCTTTGGCCATTGATGGCAGGAGGAAATGAAGTCATCACCCTGACACAGCAGTCTGTACCAGAAGGCAGCTCACTTTTCGTCTTCACTGGGAATAACTCCTACATATCAGTGCTGTGCTCTGCATCACCATGCAGCATGTCTCTTCTTTCCCATCCCATAATCCTTTGAGACAAACTGCAAGTGACCATGTGACACAACAAAGGATTAGGTGACAGAACTCTCCCGTCAGAAAAGCCTACAGAAGAGCACCGGAGCAGTTTACAGCTTAAAGTGAGCTCACGGTCCAGTTCCCAGCAGCGTCAGCAGCAGGTGAACTGACTGTGCGGTCAGATTTACAGCTGACATGTGACCGAGCTCCGCACACGTTACTGAGCAAAACGTCTGGGACAACATTCTGTGAATATGAACGCACAGAATCAGCCAGCTGCTGTTCCTCTGTGGACTAGGAACACATGGCTGACCTGAGCTAACAGCTGCAGCCTCAGGGATAAATGTTAGTAAGATTGCTGGGGCTGGGACTCACCCTGACTCAGAGGAAGCCTTTCTGGTTGAGAACCATGGATGTAAGGTTGCGTCATGCTCCATCCCAAGCAGAGGAAGTGGCTCTCATCAACATAGTTGAGATGAAAATCACGTCATTTTGTTCTGATAGTAGCTTAATCTGTCCCATTTAGACACAAAGTCCAGGCCCAACTTATTCTCACAGAAATACTGTAAGTGCAAAATATTATGTGACTGGTCAGAGGGGCGTGTTTCTTTTTGTGAAAAGCTCTTGGACATCAATGTTGTCATTTCGCTTTAACTACTGCACTTCCTGTTGTGCGAGTAAACGCAACATGAACAGTTTTGAGGAGCAGCTGGTCAAGACAGTCCGAAAATATGTTCAAATGTACAACTCTTTAAGACACACTTATAAAGACAGGCTTCAAATAACAATTAGCAATGCAGAAAGAAAATAAAAGGTGTCATTTGATTAATCTGTTCTTAACTTCATTGGCTCAGTCTCTCAGAGTGAACTATTTTCAACATGTTGTGAAAACAGAACTTTTCTTTCACTTTCTGACAATTCCCAAAGAAATGATCAAACTTGCAGATGACTCCTATACAAACACGTGTGTAATGTTTTAACTTTCTTTTTTATGGCGGAGCAGAAGAATTCATGTTAAGAATCATAATTAAAGATCTGCCTCTAAAAACAGCTGGACCAAAGTAAATGAAGGATTTAAAACCATTTTCCATCAAAGCCAAACGTGTTCATCTTCAGACACATGAATTGGACAAAACCGTTTGGAAACTTCTGTTTAAACAGCTGCAGACTGAACTTTTCTTCTTTTCTGCCAGTAATCCAACTCCAGCCCCTCATTCTCCTCTGTAAACTCAAACACACATGAACTTTTAGCCGGTGGACTCTCAGACAACACTCAGCAGTGATGGAGAGCTGTAGCAGGGTTCAGTCAGAATCCAACATACTAAGTGAAATGCTGAGGAGACAGGCTGTAAACTGTTTCATCAAAACACTAGCAAAGCATCTGACACCACCTAACAATGTGCTAACATGTGCTCACGCCAATCTCTCAACTGTCCCTGTGCACAGATAGCATTTCTGCTGTGCTGGCATCTCTGCAGCTCTGCTGGACCTACAAGATCTACTTACAGTCAACTAAACAATCTCACTTACACTCATCTACATATACTTATGATGCACACAGCGAATGACACTGGGTTGTCTGCAGCATGGAGCTTCCTGTGCATGTGTGAATAAAGTACCTGCATTGTGCTTTGCCAGATATTTATCTTTGTACTGCTTCTTCTTCTTGCCAAACCAGGTACAGCTGGCCTGCTGCTCCTGCTTGGTCTTCTCCATGGCGATGCATGCCACACGCCTGCCAAAAAATCAAAATCAAAATCAGCAACTGAATTAAGTGACTTGCACTCAGTGGAAGCAGTTCAGCTGCAGCATGCTGAATTTGTAATTTAAGTCATGTTTCCTTTGCACGGGTTGTCAGCTCTGACTAACCTGGGGTTGCACATGAAGACCAGAGGAGGGAAAGATTTACAAGACACCCTGCCTGAGGAGTTATGTTTTCAAAACCTATCCAGGAACTTTGAAATTAACGCTTGGAAAGCAAAATATTGCTTTTCCTCAACATTTTGTAACTGATTAAAAGCATTTGCAATGGTTTCACATTTTTCTTTTTTCATTTCAAACAGAACATCCTTTATTCAACAGCAAACGTGTTTACCTAAAAAAGAACTCCAAAGTTCTGGTTTTCCTGTGACTGATTAAACAAAAACCAAGACTTAAAATGTTTAACAAGATAAATTACTTACCGAGAAAATTAGAAAAAAACAAACAACAAACAGGTGAAGGAGCCTTTAATTCATTAAATAAATCAATGTTTCAGGGCCTTGCAGAAGATTTATACACATCTCCAAAATGCAGATTTTCCAGTTTATCCTTGACTTGGTTTCAGAGGAAACATCTTTTTTGTCTTTCATTCCCCCATGGATTATGTCACAATTAGGGATGCACGATATTATGGCATGGTATCGGCTGATATTAGCGTTCAAGTTCAATATTGGACATCTGCCATTCCATTAAAATAACTCACCAATATAAAAGGCGCTGTTTTTGTCTGCAGCGGCAGCACAACGTGATGACGTTACGTGTGCCTACCCGATCTCATGGCAGAGAGGAAAATTCAAAATGTCAGCGGTGTGGAAGTTTTATTTTTCGTTGGTGAGGATGTCGGATTCCAAAGATTTATGGACTACATTGAGCCTCGCTACATTGTCTCCAGTCTGAGATATTTTCCCAACGTAACGTTACCCGAGTTGCAAGCCATCATTTCCGACATCGTTGAGAAGCTAATAGCCAATAGCACGACTTGGGTGAGTTATACAACAGACATTTGGATGTCATGTTAGCCACGTTAGCATGATTAGTTTTATGGCACAATGGATAGACAAAAACTTTGAACTTAAAAGGCTGTTCTTCATGCACATGAGTGCAGAGGATCCCACACTGCAGCTGGGAACCCGTAACAAGTGTAGCGTCCATCCTTCCAAGAACCTTAAGACAAATGTCCTCAGAGACACTATGTCACCCCTACCCCCTCCTTTCCTACTAATCTGGGACAGATACTGGCATCTTGCTCTAACACAGGAAGTTTTTTTGTTAACCTTTTGTGTGTGTGTGTGTGTGTGTGTTAAAATCTACAGTTGGGACCACCCTGACATGTTGCATGATTCTGGACCGCCTCTGTATAATTCACCTTCTATGTTGAGTCACCAGACTTTGAGACTCCTGAAGAAGGGTCTTGATCAAAGAGCTTCACTTGGCCTTATCAACAGAGACTGGTCGCCATGACAGTAAAGGAAGTTAACCCCCCAGTTGAAGTTCTGATTCAATGAAACCCATTTTGTTTGTATCAGCATGGTGTCACACATCCTTTACAAAGGGTCATTGTATTATCTTCTCTGAAGAACTTTGAGAAAGGGGATTTTAATTACATTAATTATACAGTGGGATACTCCTACTGTAAAAAGCCCTCTGATTGGTTAAAAGTTAAGGGGCCCGTCTTCCTGGTGCCAGGTATACTGAACATCAAGGGAGTTGCGAGATGGCAGCCGATGAGGAAAGTTGGCTTGGGATCATCAGCTGAGCTGAACAGATGGAATGAGTGGTTGAGGAGAGTTGATGAGACTCTCTGAGAAACAACAGCCATATGATGGAAGACGTGTCCAGCTGAGAGATGGTGGACATCCTGAAAAATCTCAAACACCCTGGAGCTAAAGGTACGAGCCAAACAAACTGCAGCCCTGAGAAACAACATCCTTCTTGGGACATCGGGCCACCGGCTTCCTTCATGCATCAGCTGTGGTAATGAGAGATGAACATCTTCCTTCTGATGAGGGAACCACGAAATAGTGCCAACTAAGTTTGTTTAGATAATTTAATTCATGAATCTGAGAAAAACTTACCTAAATTTTAACATTAAGAGCTAGACCTTAGTCCAAATTGAATCAAATCTCCTTCTCAAAGTCCTCAGATTTATGCCATTTACTTTCTAAAATAATCCAAAAAAGTTCAATCTGGTCCTCTGGACATTCAAAAAAAAACAAAAAACAAAATTTTTTTGAATGTCCAGAGGACCAGATTGAACTTTTTTGGATTTTTCCACCTGGATTATTGAGCATGCATCAGGATATTTCTAAAATAATATTATTGGTTCATATTCATATTCAATATTTGCCATAATTTCCATGTCATCATTCAAACTGAAAATAAACATCACAGAGCTTTATTTAAATTACGGATTCTTCATGTTTTCTTTGAGGGACAGGAATTAAGTTCGTTACAAGAACTCATGGTTTATATATGTTTGAGGTGAGGCCGGTCCAGAGTAAAACCTGTTTAAGTATACGGGTTTGACCGGACCAGAAGTCCAATATCCTGTACATATATTCCCCTCCACAAGCCTCCACAAGTGAGACAGCATCGCAGATGACTAATGCTAATAAATAACATTTAACACTTTTCATTTAATATAAGTCAAAGTGCTATGCATATCATATGGCTGTTACTGAATATATGTCACCAGCTCTTACAGCTGTTGCACAATTTTTGTAGCAAATAAGCCAAAATAAGAGGGCTATGTTCTGACAAAGGAACATATATAAAATATTGGTATTGGCATCGGTTATCGGCCAAATAAGTTTTAACATATTGGCATATCAGATATCGGCCAAAAATCCAATATCATGCATCCCTAGTCACAATGTGTCGAGTGTACTTGCCACTCCTGCAGCTCCGGCGACGGGATAAGGCCTGCTGTGCCATTCTTGGTGTTCTCCAACTTTCCTTGCCACCAGTTGTGGTCGTCCTTGGAGATAATCTGGATGATGTCGCCCATCCGAAAACGGATACCGGCCTCTTTGCAGGGGATGAGTTCATCTTTGGAGGGATCGTATTCAAACTGGGCCCTTACGTAAATCTGTGTCAAAACATAAAAAGAAAAAAATAATAAAAATGCAAACCGTGAAAAGGGACAAGCTATGGAGTCAGGAAAAAGAGGAGAGCATAAAAAAAATGTAAAGAAACATAGTGGCTACATGGTGTACACATGTGACAGCCTGAAGTAATGAGAAGGTCATCTTCCAGGGAGAACAGGGTAGATTGTGTGTGTGTGTGTGTGTGTGTGTGTGTGTGTGGGGGGGGGGGGGGTCGCCAGCTTGGAAACTGGTTTCCAAGGAGAGTATTTCAGCATATGAAACCAAGCACTGTCAGGCTACTAATGAGTCTCTAACAGTTTGATAATTACAGCACAGGCATTGTTTATGCTCAGCTTTACTCTGCCTGGAAACTGTTTATGGTCTACTGTGAGTCTTTTACTGTGAGTCTTTTACTGAGAATCTTTAACTGAGAGTCTTTAACTAAGAGTCTTTTACTGAGAGTCTTTTACCGAGAGTCTTTTACTAAGAGTCTTTAACTGACAGCCTTTTACTGAGAGCCTTTTACTGAGAGTCTTTAACTGACAGCCTTTTACTGAGAGCCTTTTACTGAGAGTCTTTAACTGAGAGTCTTTTACTGAGTCTTTTACTGTGAGCCTTTAACTGTGAGTCTTTAACTGTGAGCCTTTAACTGAGAGCCTTTAACTGAGAGCCTTTTACTGAGGGTCTTTTACTGTGAGTCTTTTACTGTGAATCTTTTACTGTGAGCCTTTAACTGAGAGCCTTTTACTGAGGGTCTTTTACTGTGAGTCTTTTACTGCGAGTCTTTTCTCTGTTGGGGAGGGTTTGAGGAAAGCTGTCTCTTACCTTAACAAACATTTTATCCTTGACTGGAGGTCTGGAGTCAATCTAGGATTTGAAAGCATCACACACATCATGCAACAAAACGGCTGTGTCATGTCCAAACAGCAGTTCAGGGGGCTTAGGTTTGCAAAGGGGAAGGAAGGCGGGGTGTGTGGTATTTAGTCAAGGGTCACTCTTTGCAGACATTAAAACTAGGAGTGAGTTCAGTGGCTCTTGAATGTTAACATCTGCTGCCCTCTGTTGGTCACTTACTCAAATCAGCTAATTTAACATGTGAGATGGACTCAGTCTTCAGATTAGTGTGTGAGGAAAGCACACACACATGCACACACACACACACACAACACTGAGGGATTTTTATTGCCATGATTCAGTTAGAAACTGCATGCTTTGCTTTCACAGAAGTTAAATCGTTTTATAAATTGTTACCCGACGGGGTCAGTGGTTAGGTAATGCCTGTGCCATTATTAGCAAACACACACACAAAAGTTGAGGGGAAGTGTGACAGTGTTAGGCTGATAACACAACAGAGGTCACACAGGTGGTCACAATATTGAATGATGTCACAAAAACAAAGAAAAGAGCCTAAACAGATAATAACATGTTTAAATTTTGACTTTGTGTCATTTCTAGAAATAGAAGTCAGATATAATAACAGTGATCAGGTTTAAGGTTTTGTTCATGAGAAGAAGGGATTAACAAGCTGGACTTGGTATCAGTTTTAAAGGGAGCGCTGTTTGGTCATTATTTTTATTTATGTTTACAATACTTTATGGAAAACACCATGCTGAATTACTAGGTGGTGAGAACATTTACACTAATAACTTGTTAAGCAGAAGCAGCTGATGGGTACCGACACTCCAAGCTGAGGCAAAAACTCTGGCGTGGGAGGAGTTCGGAGAGGCCATGGAGAATGACTTGCGTACGGCTTTGATGCAATTCTGGTCCACCATCCGGCATCTCGGGGGGGTTCAGTACACCACCAACACTGTTTATAGTAGGGGTGGTGTGCTGCTGACCTCATCTCGGGATGTCGTGGGTCGGTGGGTGGAGTACTTCGAAGACCTCCTCAATCCCAACAGCACGCCTTCCACCAAGGAAGTGGAGCATGGGGACTTTGGGTTGGGCTCTCCAAGCTCTGGTGCTGAGGTCACCAAGGTGGTTAAAAAGCTTCTCGGTGGCAGGGCCCCAGGGGTGGATGAGATTCACCTGGAGTTCCTTAAGACTCTGGATGTTGTAGGGTTGTGTTGGCTTACGCGACTCTGCAATATTGCGTGGATATCCGGGGAAGTTCCCCTGGATTGGCAGATGGGGGTGGTGGTCCCCCTATTTAAAAAGGGGGACCGTGGAGTGTGTTCCAACTACAGGGGGATCACGCTCTTAAGCCTCCCTGGTAAGGTCTATTCGGGGCATCTAGAGAGGAGGGTTCGTTAGATGGTCGAACCTTGGATTCAGAGTCAGAGTCAGAGTCAGAGGAGCAGATTCAACAGGAGCAGTGCAGTTTTCATCCTGGTTGTGGAACACTGGACCAGCTCTATACCCTCAGCAGGGTCCTGGAGGGTGCGTGGGAGTTTGCCCAACCAGTCTACATGTGCTTTGTGGACTTGGAGAAGGCGTTCGACAGCATCCCTCATGGAACCCTGTGGGGGGGAACTCAGGGAGTATGGGGTACCAGGCCATTTGATACGGGCTGTTAGGTCCCTGTATGACCGGTGTCAGAGCCTGGTCCGCATTGCCGGCAGTAAGTCGGGCTCATTCCTGGTGAGAGTTGGACTCTGCCAAGGTTGCCCTTTGTCACTGATTCTGTTCATAACTTTTATGGACAGAATTTCTGGGCGCAGCCAAGGTGTTGAGGGGATCCGTTTTGGTGGCCTTAGGATTGCGTCTCTGCTTTTTGCAGATGATGTGGTCCTATTGGCTTCATCAGGTCGTGATCTACAGCTTTCGCTGGAGCAGTTTGCAGCCGAGTGCGACACGGCCGGGATGAGGATCAGTTCCTCCAAATCCGAAGCCATGGTCTTGAGCTGGAAAAGGGTAGAGTGCCCTCTCCGGGTCAGGGAGGAGGTCCTGCCCCAAGCGGAGGAGTTCAAGTATCTTGGGGTTTTGTTCACGAATGAGGGAAAAATGGAGCGTGAGATCGATAGGCGGATAGGTGCAGTGTCTGCAGTGAAGCGGGCGCTGTACAGGTCTGTCGTAAAAAAAAAAATGGATGGATGGACTTATTAAAATACAAGACATTCTTATCTTGACTTATATTTGTACAAAAACATTTCTTCTTATGTTGATACCGTAAAAATCCTCCATCAAATGCAGAAAAAAGGGAAAAATGGCCCAACTGTTGTTTTGACATTTAGGGCACAAAGAAATAATGTGATTGCATTGAACAAGCTGCTACGTCATTATTTTTGGAAAGCTCCATATTTGATGTCCACATAAATCATCTAAAAATACTTTGGAAAGCATTTTTTAAAATATCCTCCTCCTCACTTTGTACGCAGAGTGTGAGTATGTGAGGAGCAAACACAGCAGGAGGTCTGTTTTTATAAAGAGTTGCATAGACGAGGCCCGTTTGATGACAAATCCTTACGTTGGTACCCCCCCGAACATAGGAGGATCTGTGGTGGAAGTGGTCACCAGCTACAAGTACTTGGGTGCACACCTGAATGACAACCTCAGCTGGAGCAACAACACCACCAGTCTGATCAAGAAAGCTAATCAGAGACTCTACTTCCTCAGGCGGCTGAGACGAGCTGGTCTGGGAAGCTCAGTCCTCACCTCCTTCTACAGGTGTGCAGTGGAGAGCATCCTGTGCTCCAGCATCAACGTGTGGCATGGAGGCTGCACAGCTGCAGAAAGAAAAGCTTTGCAGAGAGTGGTGAAGGCTGCACAGAAGATGTTGGAGTCAGTCTCCCCACCATCACAGATATCTACACCTCCAGATGCAGGAAGAGCCACCTGCATCATGAAGAACCCCACTCACCCAGCACACACACTTCTTGCACAGCTCCCCTCAGGCAGAAGGTTGAGGAGCATTAAGTGTAGAACCACTAGACTGAGGAACAGCTTCTACCCTGAGGCTGTTAGACTCACATCCCTAACCAAGATAATCACTGTAATACCACTTTAATTGGAGATTTGTCACTTTATCTGTGCTGCTGATTATTCATGCTGCTGATTTCTTACCCATAAGTTGCTATATTCATAGCCATCTGCTCACAACAGACTCATGTTCAGGCTGTTGTTTAATATACCGTAATATATTAATTACATTATTATTGTTTAGCGTATATCTTTTTTTCATTCAACCTTTATTTATACCTTTATTACATCTTAAATCCTTTTATACTGTTGCTTTATTTATACTTTATATTTTTGCTATTGTTGGATGTAACTGGGACCTTGAGAATGCAATTTTGTTCCATCTCATGTACCACATGTGATGCGAATACAATAAAGAACCCTGAACCTTAAAATTAGATGCTGCAGTTTGCATGCATGTGTTTTCAAAATAAAAGCAGTGATTTATGTGTTTAAATGTTTTTCTTTTTCTTTCTGTATTTTCTGATAGAGCTACAGGAGAAGCTCTGGACATTCTTTCACTGAAACTGTCCCACCCTGCGTGACCACTGCAGGAGGGGTTCTGGTTCTAAAGGCTGGAAGGGTTTTGCTGGTGCAGGGGAGGTGTGATCGTCAGAGATATGCTGGTGAAGATTCAAGATGATCAAGATGAAGATGAAAGAGATGTTTTCAGACAAACATATTCTGGATTGGAAGACTTTTTTTTTTTTTACAAATAACCATCTGTTGTTGTTTTCTGACAATTTTCCTCTCAAACTTAGGTTCTTAAAGTCAACAAAACTTTCTTCCTCACAATGCTTCAACAGAAAAAGTGGATCCAGAAACATTGTGTCTGTCCCTCCTTCCCAGATAAAAAAAACAAAACATCTGCAGTGCAAATAATATAAACGAGTTTGACTGTGGTACACTCCTACCTTTAATTACTTCTTTAAACAACAAGTTCAGTTATTTTTCACATATTCTAAATATCAAAAGTGCATCTCTTAATAAAACATCAAAACAAGTATTGTTATAACATTTGCTTTGTTTTTATATTCTACTTAATTTTAGAGTCTCATCATTATGGGTGGCATCTCATTTGTTAAAATATCAAATTATAAGTGAATGTTTAGCGACCCAGTGACCAGTAAACTGTGTAGCTGTGTGACAAAAAATAAAACAATCATGGCATATTTTCATGTGTATGGCTTTAAAAAGTGTATTCTAGGCCGTGCACATAATTTTATTTCCCATCTTCATACTCATTTTACCCATCTCGACAACCACTCCAATCTTTATGATTTTGTTTATTTAGAAAACACATCCTAAATAATTTTAGTTATTTATCATTGACGTGGATTTTAGACTCAGACATTCGAGGCTGTCGCGTCTTGAATTTACAGAAACTTCATTAAAAAGGGTTCGACTTGTTTGAGGTTCCAGCAACAACTCCGTGACTGTGTTTGGAATCACAAAGTTTAATTTAATTCTCCAACTTGTTTCTAATAACAGCAAAGCTCTTTGGCACAGATCAACTTGTTGTCACGTTAATTAATGTTTTGTTAAGCACGTTGGTCACAGTCACTGTGGTTGTGTAAAGTGCTAAAAAAATAAATAAATTAACTAAATGAAATGGTCACATCTAGAATATAAAATCAATTCTTGTCTTTGTGACATTGTGAGTGACAGAATCAGTCAAACCACTTCAACCTGTCTTGAATGAATCCAAGTGACTGACATGTTGTGAAGCACAGGAGAGGGTTTAGTATAAGCAGAAGTGCTGCAGAGCTGACAGTGAGTAGTAAGAGCTTTACCTGTCGACCTTTGGGCTGGATGGTGGATGGCAGGTCCTGTGGAGGTGAAGCATTGATCACAGAAAGAGATTCAGCAAAGTAAAAACAAAACTACATCACTAAAAGAAACATACACAACCATTTGCAATCTGGCTTAACAGAAACAAACAAACAAAACAACAACAGCAAAAGCAAAAAGACAGAGGACTTTGGATTCACATCTGTTCTGGCAGATCGGTCTGTGGAGCAACCAAGCGAGCACAGAGCAAGCAAAGCAGCTGCAGCATCAGCACAACCACAGAGTCTGTCTGGAGCCATGACGGGGAGGAACGAGGAGGGAGGTGCAGGAGCTGACTGGGAGTAACTCAAAGAAGAAGACGACTGGATGCCCGCTGGGTGTCAGCAGGGAGGCACACCAATTTGTTAACCGAGATATCGGACATGAGAGGGACCCCTGGCTCCAACAGATGAGCAGTGGGGAGAAGGACTGACACGAGATGGAGTCAGGTGACCTACATCACACCCCGCCGGCGTCGAATCCAAACGCTACTCAAAGAACGCAAACAGAAGAAAGACAAATACTGATGAGGGGGCAATCACATGGGGAGGCGGAGACAAGAGACACGACACATCAGTGTGACGAATGAGACGCACCGGAGGGCACGGAGAGGCATGGGTGTGGGTCTGTCTGTGGGGGAGGGGGTCTGGTGGGGGCAGGCGCCTTACCAAGACTGAACTGTTAATGCTGGAGTGGCCATTGGCAGGAGACTGCCGGGAGGTGTTGGGGGACTCTTTCTGAAATAAGACACACAGGTCAGCAGCACACAGCAAAGACACACACATACGCACGCACATACACAAACACGCACGCACACGCACACACACTCTTGGACAGGGACTACAGGCAATATAGAGGGTTTGTTTGCAGAAGAGACCTGCAACTGATGCTAATGAAAGAAATACGTCACCAAAACATGGCAACCAGCAACTTTCTACAGCCTGCACATCTTTATATGACCAGAGGGGGGCGCCAGCCTGACATGACACTTGGACTGAAGCAGCAGTGAGCATGAATGAGGTCATCACTACGAGACAGACCCCAACAGCTATACTTGGACTGAATGTGAAACCCCTTCACGATCTCCTGACCATCAAATCTATGAACATAGACTCCTTCTCCGTTCAGAATATATTATATGGATATGTATCTGAAAATAAAAAAGATGAATACTTTGTCAATAACATTATCATAATATTGAAATTCTATATACATAAATGCAGACATGGCAAGTCTAAACCATTATGGTCTGTATTCAAACAAGAACTCCAGTTATTAAAACTTTCATTAGACTGTGCTAAAAAACCACAAGCCAAAAAGCTCTGATCACCTCGCTCAGATAATATAGCCCTCTGACAAATTATTTTAGTAATTATGTAGATTCTTAGATAAATAGTTAGTTGTTTAATTTACTGTACTATATTATTTGCAAAATCTCAAATAGTATTATTACCTAAATTTTAAGTTTATGATGGTTGATATGA